ACCGCAGAAACACCGTGTATCCGTTCAGGTAATGTGGCCCTTACGAGAGCCGGGAACCACTGTGACATCTACGACTTTCTTCATCCCCTGACAGCAACCAGTCTTTGCTCACTTTGCTCCCCCTATTGAGAATGAATGAGTCTGAGTGAGCGCCAAATTTTGGTTCTGTGAGTTTATAGCAGTGGTTGCTGGTTGCTTTAGGCTGTATTTTTGAATTAGAAGGAAAAGTTCAAGTTCAGCAAGCGCAGGCCCTGTTTTATGCAGAACACTCACAACAAGACAAAACAAAACAAGCTGCAAAGCCCCAAGCGACTGTGGATTATCTAAGGCTACACCAAAGGGGCAGGCGGGCCTCACATTCTCGAGGGACACATGCTACTTTCCCTCCTAAACAAACAAACAAACAAACAAACCAACCCTTTTTTCTTACACATTTTTGATCAGTGTAGATGGGGTTGACCAGCCTTGCTGGAAAAATGAGTTGGAAGGGAGTTTGGAAAAGATAACAGTTTGGAGGAGGCCGTGGGGGTGAAGGAGGCCAGCACGGAAGTCAGGACAGGGCTGGGATCAGGGAGGAGGCAGAGGGCGCCGCAGGGGGCAGCCGGCTGGAGACCCTGAAGTCACCGGAGAATCTGTGACAGCTGGAGGGAAGAGGGGAGCGGGGAGAGAACACAGGCAGCTCCAAGGGGCGGCCGATGCCTGGGGCAGCGCCCGAAGTACAGACACGAATCGTGAGCGAACTGCGCGTACTGATCTACTTCAGAAGGGATCCGTGGGCCGCGTTTAGGTCCCTACTAAGTGCTTGTGCTTGGTCCTGCCGTTAACTACGTTCCGGACAGTTCGTCCTGATAAAAACAGACGTGAACACGACTGACCCATGAATAAAAAACGTTGAGAGGCAAACACGTAAAGCGATGGCTCCGTGAGGCTGTGCTCTCGCCCTTCTGCCTACACAGAACCATCAGGTCCCCCCGACGCTCCTGGGGAGAAACGTTTACGGAGACGCCTACCGAGGTTCCGGACGCTGCTGAACACCTACTGTGTGCTAGCCACATCGGGCACGGGGAAGAGCAAGGTGAGCGGTGAAGAGAGGCCCAGAAGGGATTTGGGGACGGCATCAAAGAGGGGGCAAGATCTGGGTAGAGCCGACGGGCAGGGTGGAGACGGGGGTGGGGGTGGGGAAGAGAAGGTCCTGCGGTCAAGGTAATGGAACACTGGAAGGCAGAGACCACGAAGGGAACGCAGAGACGAAGAGGGGCACACTGGGAGCCAAATCGGCCTGGTTTTGTTTTTTTTTTAAATATTTTTATTTATTTCTAGGAGAGAGAGAGACAGCGTGAGCAGGGGAGGGTCAGAGAGAGAGAGGGAGATACAGACTCTGAAACAGGCTCCAGGCTCTGAGCTGGCAGTCAGCACAGAGCCCGAAGCGGGGCTCGAACCCACAAACCTCGAGATCATGACCTAAGCGAAAGTCGGACGCTTAACCGACTAAGCCACCCAGGCGCCCCATAAATCAGCCTGGTTTTTAAATGCAGTCTCACTGGAGCATAGCCCGTCGGGCCGTTTGGGCTTCGGCTGCTGAACTGTCGTGACAGAGACCGAGACGGAGACCATCTGGCCCTTACCAGAAAAAGTTTGCCCGTGTCTGTTCTAGAGCCTTGCTATTCACAGAGGGGTCTAGGGAGCAGCAGCAGCCCCTGGACGCTGGGCAGAAATGCAGACGCTCAAGTCCCACCCCCGACCCACAGAATGAGAACCTGCCCCTTAAGAAGATTCAGGCGATTCCTGGCACAGACAGCTCTCCGATGCCTGGCGAGTGCGGCCGGGAGGAGGCGGCGAGGCTGCAGACGAAGAGAGGCACACACTTATCCTATATATAGACGGAAGACAGTGGCGAAGATCTTCCTGGAAAGGAGCGGCCCCTCTGTCAGAATTTAACGGTAAGAAGGGCTGGCAGCAGAAAGTGGGCGGGCCGCTGGTGTCGGAATCCAGGCAAAAGATGACCTTGGCCCTACCCCCGCCCCGGACCAGGTGCTGCGCAGATCACAGGATGGCTTCTTCCTTCCCAGAAGCAAATGAGCTTTTCAGAGATTAAACTCCGCCAGTGCCTCCCAATCACTGCTAACCAATACGGTATTGGTTACAGTTTATCAGGAAATAGAAAAATACTTGGTGACAAAAATATTAGTCATCCTGTGTTTCTGTGTATACCAAATGTACCTCCGCCTGTGTAACACACCCAGAGAGCAAGGCAGAAGTGATGACATTAATGGCTACGAAGGAAGTTCAAAATTTTTAAACTTTATTTTGAGAGAGATCACATGCTCAAGTGCAAGCACAAGTATGCGATGGGGAGGGAGAGGGAGAAAGAGAGAGAGAGAATCCCAACAGTGCAGAGCCCAATGCGGGGCTCAAACTCACGAACCATGAGATCATGACCTGAGCTGAAATCAAGTGTGGGATGGATGCTTAATTGGCTGAGCCACCCAGGTGCCCCAAGAAAGAAGTTTAAAGATTAAACAAGGATCGAGTCACCAGCTACCGATGCTGGAGGCTGCTAACACATAGTTCACAGGATATTGAAGGGTGTACTGCCTGAAACGGTTAGGCCCTTCCCCACCTCCGCAAATGTATGTAAGATTCTGCTTGATACTCAGTTTTTCCATACTATGGATGAATAAGCAATATAAAGTTCCAAAGAAACAAAGCGGTATTTTAGACAACCACGCCAACACGATTTCTTCTTCCAGCTCTACCGACGGCTTCCAAGCGAGTGTTTAACGGTCTGCCTTCTTAAACATCTTGAAAAGTTTGACAGGGTCATTTGTGGGCTTCGGCATGCTTTCAAGTAATGACAGCAATATAGATAAAAATAGATGGGCAAAAACAGTAAATCTCCTTCCTTAGATGCTTAGGTTAAATACTTCGTATTCATTATGTTGGCAGAAACAATGCAAAAGAAACGGCCTGTAGAGCTGCCTTGAGAAACACAATTAAATCAATAAATCTCACGCAAGGAAAAAAAAAAACCCAACCCCACCAAATTCATGTTGAGAACAATCTCCATGTTAATATTCATTAATAAAAGCCTTAAAACGTCCAGGAAGTCAGTATAATGGTTACTGGCATTAAGAAAATAATAATACGGGCGTCCGACTTCGCCTCAGGTCATGATCTCACTGTTTGTGGATTCGAGCCCCGCACTGGCACGGGGGTTGGGCTCTGTGCTGACAGCTCAGAGCCTGGAGCCTGTCTTGGGATTCTGTGTGTCCCACTCTCTCTGACCCTCCCCTGCTCACGCTGTCTCTCTCTCTCTCAAAAATAAACATTAAAAATAATTTAAAAAATAACTGACAATTCCACAGTACTTACTCTGGGTTTACATTGTACTAAATACCATTACACAAATTATCTCATTTAACCCTCAAAACACCCTGGTATTAGCAACATGTGACAACCGGGGAAAGTAAGGCACAGAGGACCAAAGTCACATGGCTCAACAAGCAACTGCACTGAGATGTGAAGCTGGGTCTAGGTCCTTAACCACAGCTGTGGCGTCTCCCTAACGCCCCTGCTCTCCACTTTCCTCCGGCCCACAGGTGAATCTGCAAAAAGTTTAAACACACTAGGCCCTCACTGTTACGGATATCTGGACAAAGAAAACCCCTACGATTTAGACACTCGAAATCTTAACGGAAAGGGAGGCACACTGTATTCACTGTTCTGTGGACAGTGGTCAAAATTTGACCCTGTGACACGGAACTGATGAGTAATGAGGTGGATTCGATGAACGATGCTGGGTTATTTTTCAGTAGGTGAAAATGCAAATTAAGCCCCAGGAAGCTTCTGAAATGTATCGTGTAACTGCTCGTTAATAATAAATACGGATGCAGACTTCTAATGATAATTACTACGTGTGCATCATCTTCTAGTAGCACGCTTGTGAAATGCTGCAGGGAATCTAAAACATAAAATGAATGTAGGTACCGGCCCAATAGTATCTGGTTAACATTCTCACATGGGCTGTACGTGCTTATTTAAGTAATCGCCTGACTGTAAATGAACAAAAGTATTAAAGTAAAGTTGGCACATGGCACCCCATCCACATGCACATTCTTTGCGGGAGCTTTATTCTATCGGTGCCCTTGGGGGAAAAGAGAAGTCACTAAATAAATAACGCAAGCACACAAGAGAGCGCGTGGAGTTCTTTTAAATTCAATTCCACAAACTGTCAGGCATCTCGGAGGAAGTTCTCTTCCGACTCTGAGCTCATCTATTCCACCTTCGAGACTAATTTTGGCGAAGAACGAGCTTTCCGCCCTTTGCATTTTAACAGTTTCAAAATAAAATCCAGGTGAAATCTCTTCGTATTCTGTTTCAAATGGCAATTCTGCCCGAGAACAAACTCACCCCCTTCCCGATTTAACAGCTTCTCTACAAGATCCAGGCAGGTCGGAAGAGAGAAAACCGAGTGGGAGAAGAGGCGACAGAAATGATGGAGTGACAGGGTCACCTGAACTCAAAACCGACTCACGAAGCCGCTTCTGGTTTTCCTATAGAACTTTCCCTGCGAACAAGAAGACACACCCTGCTGGTGGTATTTTCGGAAATACAGGGAAGGGAACCGGTCTGTGTTATTTTAAGGATGGGCCATCAACGTAGTTTGGGGGTCCCTCTGCGGGCACGGCGGCGTTTCGAACAATTACTGCTGCATGACACCTCGCTCTGCCCCCAGCTGGGCTGCTGAGGACAAAAGGGCCGCCCCTCGGAGCGGATGGCCGGCTTTCGGGGCTCCCCGCCCGAACCCGGCCGGGCTTCCAGCCCCCGGGCGGCCCCCGCGGGCCACGGCAGACGTCCTCGGCCGGCTCGGCGCCTGCATCCCCGGCCGCGCTCCGCTCGGCAGCCGGGGCCGCGCGGCCTCCGGGGCGTGAACCCCGGCGGCCCCCGCGCCCCGGCCCCTCGGCGTCGCGACGGCGCGCGGTCCGGCGGGGGGCACTCACCTTCTTCTTCCAACTCGAATTTCTCCAGCATGCCGGCTTCCGCGGGTCCCGGGGCCGCCGCCAGCGCCGCCTGAGGAGGAGGAGGACAGGGATCAGCATGCGCTCGGCGGCGCTCGTCCCGGCCGCGCGGGCGGGGGCGCGGGGGTGCGGGCGGGGGCGCGCGGGCGGGCGGGGGCGCGCGGGGTGCGGGCGCCGAGTGCGGGCGGGGGCGCGCGGGGCGCCGCGGGGAGGGGCCTCCGGGCTGGCGGCGGGAGGGCGGCCCGGGCGGCCCCGCCCGCCGGCAGGGAAGCGCGGAGAACGGGGAGCGCGGCGCGGCCCCGCAGGCCCCGGCCGCTCAGGCCCCGCCCCCGCCCGGGGGCCGCAGGTGGCGCGGCCGCGGCCTAACCTGCCGCCCCTGGCCGAGTGGACCGGCCCGCCCTCCCCCGGCCCCCGGCGGCTTTGGTACGGACCGGCGAGGAGGAAGCGTGGGAAGAGGACCCCGAGGAGCCCGGGGCCGGCGCGCGCGGCGGCGGCCGGGGCGCCCCCCTCCGGCCGCGGCCCTCCTTCCCGCCGCGGCCGCCATTAGCGGAGGCCCGTGTGCCCGGCCTCGCCGGGGCCTCCCGCCCCACCGCGCTCCTCCGCTCACCTTCCCCGCCGCCCACGGGCGGCGCGTCCCCGCGGGGTTAACCTGCGCAGGTGTGGGCTCGGCCAGCCAGGGGGGTGGGGCGACAGGGGAGCGCCGCGGGTGGGCGGGGCGACGCCGGGCGAGCGGGGCTGGGGGAGCGGGGGGGGGGGGAGAAGACTCCGCGGACTTGGGGGGAGGGGGCGGCTGTGATTGCGTTTCTTTTTTAAATTTTAGATTAAGCTATCCATCCACCCCCCCCCCAAAAAAAAAGTGTTGCGTGGATTACACGTATTGTGGATGCACTTTGCTGCTATCAGTTTTCCCCGGCCACGGAAGTCTCCATTTGCGCCCTTTCTTCGCGGCTGATTCTCTACTTCGGGTGATGCACCGCCACGAGCTCACACAAATCTAAATCTGGCCCCGGCCACTGCTGTCGCCCTGGATCTGGGACCTGAGACGCTGCTACCGGCAGCTCAGGTAGGCAGGCGGCGAGGCTCCCCGAGCTGCCTGGGAGGGCAGGGCGGTGGGAGAGGGGCAGGCGGCCCCACCCCCTGAGGCTCTCCGCTGTGACAGCCAGTTTCTGCAGGGAGCCAAGGGCCCTGATAGATGCGCTCCCTAGCGCTGATTAGGGCTGTGAAGTACCCCCACCCCCACCCCCACCCTCTCGAAAGGAAGCTTAGTTTTATCACTCTTGCAAGCCTGGCCTGGAAGAGGAAGTACTAAAATCTCCTTTGCGTTTCCTTTCTGCTCTGTCATCTGAGTTGGGCCAATCCCCAAGTTGAGACTTAGCTTCTCTTCGATAAGGGGGTGTGTGGGGGGCGGGGAGGGGGAAGAGGACGACACTAGTTTTAAAAGACCTTCGGTGGTTAAAAAAAATAAAAATAAAAATAAAAAGCCCTGCAGCGATGTCATATGTAACTGCAAGGGCCTGAATGCTTTCCAAGTTCAGAGGCAAGGCAACTATGGCTGCTTTCACACTATTTTTATTCACCACAGTCCTGGAAGTTCCAGCCCTCGCAGTAAGGCAAGAGGGAGAAAAGCCATACAAATTGTATAGGAAGAAGTAAAATCCTCCCTGTGTTCAGATGACATGACTGTGTTCATAGAAAGTTCCAAGGAATCTACTGAAAAGCAAAACAAAAAAAAACAACTAAGACTAGAACTAGTGAGTGCAGCAAGGTCACAGGCTGCAAGATCAACACATAAAAATCAACTGCATTTCTCCATACTAACAATGAGCACGTGGAAAGTGATATTACAAACAATACTATGATCAACTGCAAAGAAAATGATGTAGGTATACGCTTAAGAAAACACGTTCGAGGGGCGCCTGGGTGGCTTAGTCGGTTGAGCGTCCGACTTTCGCTTAGGTCACGATCTCGCGGTTCGTGGGTTCGAGCCCCGCGTCGGGCTCTGTGCTGACTGCCGGCTCAGAGCCTGGAGCCTGTTTCAGTCTGTGACTCCCTCTCTCTCTGGCCCTCCCCTGCTCATGCTGTCTNTCAGAGCCTGGAGCCTGTTTCAGTCTGTGACTCCCTCTCTCTCTGGCCCTCCCCTGCTCATGCTGTCTGTCTCTCTCTCTCTCTCCTAGAAATAAATAAAACATTAAAAAAAAAAATTTAAAAAAAAAGAAAACACGTTCGAGACCCGTATGCTGAAAATGACAATATGTGGATGAAATGAAAGAAGACCTAAATAAATGGAGACGCATCCCATGTTTATGCATTGGAAGACCCAACATAGTAAAGTTGTCGGTCCCCTCCCCCCATTGAGCTCTACGTTTAATGCAATTCCTACCAAAATCCTAACAAGTCTTTTTTAAAGTTTATTGAGAGAGAGAGAGCACATGCACATACATGAGAGCATGAGTGGGGGAGGGGCAGGGAGCGAGAATCCCAAGCAGGTTCAGCACTGTTAGCACAGAACCTAATTCGAGGCTCAAACTCCAGAACCATGGGATCATGCCCCAAGCCCAGGTGGGATGGTCAACCGACTGAACCACCCAGACCCTCCATAAAAGGTTTTCTGTAGACAAGATGAGCTCATTCTTAAATTTATATGGAAAGACACAGGCTATAGAATAGCTAACACAGTCTTGAAAATGATGAAGTAGGAGTAGTCAGTACTGTGTGGTACTGTCAGGGGGACAGAGACATAATCAACAGAGAACTAACAATACACCCACACAAATATGTCAGGCTGATGTTGGAGGAAAGTGCAAAAACAGTGGTGTAATCAGACACGGATAGGCAAAAAAAATAAACCTCAACCTCAATGTAAACCTCACACCTTATACAAAAATGAACTCAAATTGGGTCATGGACTTAAAATGGAGAAGTATAAAATTTCTAGAAAAAAAAACCCTTTGGGATCTATTACTAGGCAAAGAGTAACACTTGATATCAAAAAGCATGATCCATAAAAGGTAAAATTGACAAATTGGACCTCATTAAAATTAAAAATCTGCGCAGTGATAGACCTTGTTAAGAGGATGAAAAGGCACGTGACAGAAGAGAAAATACTTCTAAAACTGCAAAGCCAACAAATGACTGGCATCTGGTAGACATAAAAAACTCTCAAAACTCAAATCACAGAAAAATAAAAGTTAGAATTCAGTTAGGATATGAAAAAGACAAATGGCAATAAGCACATGAAAAGATGTTTGACAACACTGGTCATCAGGGAAATGCAAATTAAAACCACAGTGAGCTGAGACTACACACCTATTAGAATGGCCGAAATAAAAATAAACACCACACGCTGGTGAGGATGATCACTTCTGCATTGCTGTGGGGATGGCAAATTGTACCACTGCTCTGGAAAACAACTCGGCAGTTTCTTACGAAACTAAACACGCAGCTGCTACGTGACACATCATTTGCAGTCTTGGGCATTTATCCTGGGAAATGAAAACTTATGTTTACGTGAAAGCCTGTATACCATGTTCATAGAAGTTTCATGTGTAATAGCCCAAACCAGAAATAACAGATGCCGTTCAGCAGGCAAGTGGCTAAACAAAGTATGCTACATCTACACCAGGGAACAGCACTCAGCAATGAAAAGGAATGAATTATTGATACACACAACCACTTGCATGAATGTCCAGAGAATTAGGATGAATGGAAGAAACCAATCCCCAAAGGTTACATACTATGTTACTCCATTTACATAACATTCTTGAAATGACAAAATTGTAGAGGTGGAGAACAGATTAGTGGGTGCAGGGGTCAGGATGGGTGTGGGGGACAGAGGTACTTGTGGCTAAAAAAGGGCAGCACGAGGGATCCTTATGGTGATGGAACCGATCTGCATCTTGACTCAATCAGTGTCAACATCCTGCTGTGATATACTCCATTTTTCCTCCCACGAGTCAAGCCAAGCTGATTTGATTGTGTGGAGGAAATGACACACTGGGTTAATTTTTTAAAAAATCCTTATTGAGATAGGATTCACATACCATAAAAATACGTGTTCAGTATATTCACAGAGTTGTGCAACACCTGTTTACATGTCATCACCCAAAGAGAAACCCTGTACCCACTAGTGGTCACTTCCAATTATTCCCTTAACCCCTCTTCCCAGCCTCAGGCAGCCACTAACCTGTTTTCTGTCTTTATACATTTGCCTATTCTGACAAATTTGACAGCAGTGGAATCATAAAACATGTAGTTTTTTTTTTTAATCTCTAACTTCCTTCACCCAGTATGCTGTTTTCAAGGTTCATCCACGTTGTAACATAGATCAATACTTCCTTTCTTTTTATTGCTGAGTAATATTCCATTGTATGCATACACTACATTTTGTTCATCCACTCACCAGCTGATGGACAGTTAGGTGTCCCCCCCCCCCCTTTGGCTATCGTGACTATTGTTGCTATAAACAACCATGTACAAGTAATCTGTGTGGACGTATGTTTTCATTTCTCTTGGGTACAGCCCCAGGAATGGAATTTCTGGGTCATATGGTAACTCTATATTTAACGTTTTGAGAAATCGCCAAACTGTTTTCCCCAGTGGCTGTACCTTTTTACATTTCCACTAGCAATGTGTGGGGGCGTCAGTTTCTCCCGCACTCTAGTTTTGTAAGATGTTAGTTCCCCTTGGGGAAAACTAGGTAGAGGGCACACGTATCTTACAACTGTATGCAAATCTACAAAGAGCTCAAAATAAAAACCATTAAAAAAAAAAAAGCACAGGGGTACACAGTGGAAGGGTCAATCATCCTAATTTTTGAAAAGTCTACATTTTAATTTCTTGCAACAACTCTAGTATAATTGTAAAAACAAATCCCTAATTGGCATTTGTTAGGAGTATCATCAATTTCACCTGTACTCCTGATGATCTGTTTTGGGGCAGAAATGGGGCGTGAGTGGGAGTATGTATTTCCGGAGGCTGTGAGCTTGCAAACATGGTCCTCAGACTAAAAAGTCCTGTACCCATTACTGTTGAAGTTGGTAGAGAATAGAACTT